ATCAGTCATAATTCCAGTTTGGCAACCTTTTCTTACATCCGGAATCATCACGAGAGTTTGGTCTCAGTGAGTGTAGCATACTGCTACTGTTCTATGGCCAAGTTGGTCAATTATAGGTTCTAAGGTCAGTTGGTGCTTAATGACCCCTTAGAAGACCCATATTCTCCTTGTTCCACCACAAGGGATATCGGTACAAACTAAAGTGCCACACCAACGTAGCTACTGCTTCAACCGTATCGATCTACGCCGTACATTTCCCTCACAGTTTATTGCTACTTACCTAAAAGGTATCCCCAGATCCGGGTTAGGATCTATAGTAACTCCGATTCAAACCCACAAAGATAAAGCAAACTGATCAAACAATTAAAAACAATATGAACTAATCCTAAGGTACACCCCACTTATAAAATGTCCCCAGCAGAGTCGCCAGTTCTGTGATACGGTGGGAAGAACTGACTGTTTTTAGAATGCTGGTTTGCATTTTGCGTTTTGTTTCCGCAAAATGTCGCGGTAAGCAAGAGTCGCCACCGACTTTTATTTTATCCAACAAGGAAAGGAAAAAAGCACAGAAAAATTCCTTTTTCGAGATATTTCTGAGTACGGGGGGTAGATTTATAGAAAGGGAAGGTATTAGCACCCTTTCTATCTGTAGTTGTCTATAGGCTCTTAGGTACTTGCTCATCATTTTCAAAATTGTTTTCTTTGTGCTTGTGGGTTTTGAAAAGTTTTTGTTTTAACTTTGATTTAACTCTTGTGTCTGTCTTCAAGAGTGTAATGAAGTGTTTTTGAAAACTTTGTTTAAAAAGGAGTGTAAGTGCGAAAAAGTTTTGTTTTTGGATGAGCAAGTATCTAAGAGCTAATCTACCTACTCGAAAAAGGAATTGTTCTATGCTAATTTCCTTTAGACAATGCTATCCCATTATTAGTGAGTAGGTAGCACCGTCGTTGGAGTTTGAGGGTCAATTCGAGAGAGGGACATATGATCACAAGAGCAATGTTAGGATGTCTTAGCGGTAACCCTAATGTCTTAGATCATTTATTCGATGCAACGATATCCGAGGCAACCATTTTGAGGCAACTATGATCTTTTAGACAAGAGGGCGACCTCTAAAACAACCTATACTCAATGACCGTTTACGAAGGCAACCAAGTGGGGTGTACCCTAGGAGTGCGCATGTGCGAGTGTGTTGTTTTCAGTTTATTTTTATCTTTGCACATGTTTAGGGTGATCTAATTGATTTTAGATTTAAGCATTCATTCTTGTCATGCAAACCCTATTATCAAACATCTAACAGTTGTATAATTTGCAAAAAATTAAAGGTGCAGAAATTAAACTAAATTATTACAAGGCGTCGGGTATTTACATCGCCAAAAGCAACCCTTTAAAAATAGAATAAAAGCGGAAAAATAGATGTCCTAATTAACTATTACAAGCCAGGAGCAGATACATCAATAATTGAATAAGGAAAAATAAATCGCGCGAGTGAATTGGATCGAATGCGGAATTAGGGTTTTGACTCTTTTAAAAGAAAATGCTTTTTTTTTTGTTTTTATTTTTAAGAAAAGAAATTAATCCTAAAATTAAATACTAAATTGATTATTAAATAAATTAATTAATGAAAAATAATTAATGACATATTTTTGGAGTTTTTGATATTTTAAGAAAGAAAATAAAATAATTAAACTAAAGTTAAAACCTAACTAATTCTAATTGATTTTATTTATTTACAAAATAAATTAAGGTTACCTAATTAATATCCTAATTAAATTAGTTAATATTTATTAATAAAATAAAGTTCTGAAATTTAATTGGTTAAAAATATTTTTTGTGATTTTCTTGATAAAAAAAAAGAAATTATTCTATTGGTTAATGATTAACTAAAAATAATTAAATGGAAATAAATAAAATATAAACAAAGTAGAGAGATGGGCCTGATTATTTGGAGGTGTCAAAAGCAATTTTGTTGGCCCACTAATGCTGATCCATTGGACTTTTTGTGATTCAGTGTCTTGGCGTTGACCTGGTCCATGGTTTGCTTGCAATATTGGCCACCAGATCTGGCCATCTGGCCATCTGGCATGTTGATTGGTGAGGGAGTATGATGGAACTCCTGCTTAGGCGCATACTGGATTGCTTGAAAATAAACAAGAAAATGCAAATTGCTGGAGGCAGGGATCGAACCCCTGACCTCCAGCCTTGGGATCCTTATGCGCTGAGGTGTCTACCACTGGGATGTTTGCTTTTTGTTGTTAACACAATACAATGCAATAATAATATGTAAAATAAAAGCTATTGTCCATAATAAAAAAAAAGCACGCAAATATTTGAACGGACAAATGGGGGAGTGCCAACGCATCGTCCCTGTCCTCTAAAAACTACAACTTTTACTTGCGGATTTTATCCGCAGCTAAAATCGTGGCTTCATTCTAAATCCTTCCCCAGGCAATATAAATGGAATCTAGTACCATAATTAGACTCGTCTCATCCCTCTGATCACAGCCATAACCATCATTAAGGCAAATTGTACCTGAAAACAAAAGCCCTAAAACCAAACACAAAACCCTAGCAATGGTGATCCGTGATACAGGTCAGATAAATGAAATTGGTTATTACAAAAAGCTTGCAAATGACATGGTGATTCAGAATATGCAATTGTTTTTCATTATAGATGCAAGAATCGTATAAATCGAATTCAAGAACAGGGCGGCTTCGTGAATAACTTACAGCACTTGGGAGGGTCTGGAAACGCGTGATTTTGATTGGTTTAGGTTGTGGAAGCTGCCAGGAAACGATTGAGACAAGTCTCAAGTCTTGAAACTGCCTCTAGACTTGATTTTGATCTCACACTTTTTTGGTGTTTTTGAAAACTTTGTTCTTGGTCTCCAACTGATCTCCAACCCTTCTTTTTGTCTGCACACGACGCTTATGTAATGTACAAAGCATTAAGGTTCCAACTTCTGTCCAAATCTTCCTCTTTTAATCACTTTGATATTTGATTTGATTCTCCATTAAAGCTTTCCAAAATTGGCTCATTTGCAATCTTTTTGTACCCACATGGCTTGATACGAGTTTCATTACCTTGCTAGCTATAATTAGAGCCTGAAACAAATCAAAAGATCCTTGGTTTTCAATATTTGTGATTTTGTTTGATTTGTTTTGATTTAATTCAAATAAAAATCAAAATAATTAATAAAAATATGATATGGACACATGGGCAAGGCTAGAGCACGTGTACCATAATGCAAAATCAAAACAAGTGAAAAAGAATGGGCCCATTTGGCAAATTTTGAAGTTTTGGGGATAGTTGACTTTTGGCAATTTTGCAAAAAAGTCCAACTTCAACAATGCATAACTTCCTCAATTTTGACTCTTTGGAGGTGTTCTTGGACTTTTTATAAAGCTTGAGATGTCCTAATCAACCCTTTTGGTCTTATCTCATTTTGATATTCCATGCTCAAGTTAGAAGCTTTGGCAAAAAAGGTGTTTTTGTTGACTTTTCAAAATGACCTATAATGTCCAAATTCATAACTTCTTGTGATTGCATATTTTGATCTTGGGATATGAAGATGGATTGTAGGGAATTGCATCCTCTTAAAAATGAGCTTTGGATGGGTCATTTCTCATAAAGTATGAGAAAGTTATGCTTGGTCAAAGTTGGGTTGACTTTTCCTACAAAACCCTAATTTAGCAACTTTTGAATCTTGATGAATTGTGAGCAATCCTTGATGAATCATGATCAACCCTTGATCAAATGATGAAATATACTTCAAAATGAGGATGTTGACAAAAAATCTTGAAGTTTGACTGTATGTAGGTCACAGTTGACTTTTGCCCTAGCACAGTCGATTTTTGGACCTTTGAGCAATTGACTGAGTAAACTTTCTCTGCAAGGCTTGAAACTTGACATGGATGACCTTGAGAACATATTAGGACAATGGTGAGCATTTGAGGTCACTTGGACTCAAGTATCCTGATGCAACATGAAACCCTAATTTGGGGTAGACTGCCTTAGGAGAGAGCTTGTCTGGCCAATCCTTGGACTACCTTGAGCAACCTGCGGATCTTTCTTGAAATGTTTTGAGAAATATGAGAGGGCAAATTTTGGGGTACAACAGCTTTCCTGCGAATAGAATCCATGTCCTACAAAACAGAAAAAGATAAATCTCAAGCTTCCACGTGGCCTTCACATTTTCACCGTTCTTCAACTCAATCAGGTTGTATTTCACCCAACCATCTGCATCATTATAATGGTTCTGAAACTCGATCTTTGTCACCCTTCTGTTATCGGAATCAGGCAACAATGCATTCAATGTTTCTTTGAAGGTGGCAAGGGATGTGCTGCGATCTGGAAGCTTGAATTACACAACATGGTTGCTCCAGTTGTAATATACTTTTGCCTTAATCAGAAATTGAGGAAGAGACATTTTTGAGATGTTTTTCTCTATAGCATATGCCCCATATTTATACAAATGATGATGCATTATAAACTACACAAATTTGTCGGTGCAATCAATACCCTCCAAAGATGTCGATAAAATATCGACCGTTAAAAAACTTGAATAAACGAACTATCAGAAATTTTAGTATAACTCAAATTTTCGATACTGTCTAGTAAATTTAAAATTTTCGGAATACCAGAAATTTCAAATACACTACCGAAAATTTACATAAATCGAAAATTTTATAGGAGTGTACCGAAAATTTTACCTGTACCAAAAATCTCAAATCATATACCAAAAATTTCTTCCGAAAATTATTTATATGTAAACAAAAATAATTCTAAAATAATTAAAATTGGGGATACCATATATATAATTTAGAGGATGAGAGTTAAATTGTGGATTTAGAAGTTGAAAAGATGCCATTGGAATATCCAAGCCCATTAACATTCATTAACCCAAACAGCAAAACCCTAGTTTTATATTTCCTCCTTCATTCAGTTCCCATCTCTCCCACTGCAAAAACCTAATCACACCGTCTTCTCTTCCATCATCAAACAATGCCTCCAAAACTCGATCCTTCCCAGGTCGTTGAAGTCTACGTCCGCGTAACCGGAGGCGAAGTCGGCGCCGCCAGTTCCCTCGCCCCAAAGATCGGTCCTCTCGGTCTCTCCCCAAAAAAGATCGGAGAAGACATTGCCAAGGAAACAGCAAAGGACTGGAAGGGTCTCCGCGTGACAGTCAAACTAACCGTGCAAAATCGGCAAGCGAAGGTTGCGGTGGTTCCATCTGCCGCGGCGCTGGTTATCAAGGCCTTGAAGGAGCCTGAGAGAGACAGGAAGAAGACTAAGAATATTAAGCATAATGGGAATATTTCTCTTGATGATGTTATTGAGATTGCGAAGGTGATGAAGCCGAGATCGATGGCGAAGGAGCTTGGTGGGACGGTGAAGGAGATTCTGGGAACTTGTGTTTCGGTTGGGTGTACTGTAGATGGGAAGGATCCCAAGGATTTGCAACAGGAGATTAATGATGGGGATGTTGAGATTCCTTTGGAATAGGTTTGTTTTTGTAGTTTTTGAATTTGGTTTGTTTTGTACGATGAAGTTTTGTTTTGGAATTTATAAAATAGTATTGAATTGGTCTGCAATTTTGCTGAATCAAGTGATTTATAGTTTATCTAGTTTTCATTAGGTATATGATTTTAGTAGTGTTGTTCTTGTTTTCCAATTAGGTTTGTTATTTTAGTAGTGTTGTTCTTGTTTTCCAATTACGTTTTTCCAATTACTGAAATTAAATCAAATATCATGAATTACAGCTTAGCACTTTGATGCTTGAATCCAAGAGCATTTTTTGGTGTAATAGAGTGGTAAAATATTTGTTATAGCTTTTGGTTTTAGGCAGACCAGTGTGTTTCGCAGCAGTTTTTGGAATCTCTTGTGGGGAGTGCAAACTTACATTTGCATATTGTTAAGAGTTTATTTGTGGCCAAAACTTTGCTGCTAGTTGAGATTTTTCTTGGGGAATAGATTGTCATTTTATTTGGACTCATTGGATTTGTTGGAATTTTGGATCACAGGAGATATTGTTAAGAGTTTATTTGTGGCCAAAACTTTGCTGCTAGTTGAGATTTTTCTTGAGGAATAGATTGTCATTTTAGGTGGACTCATTGGATTTGTTGGAATTTTGGATTGTTACGGGAGATAATGTTTTATTCTACTCTATTTATTATTTATAAATCCAAATAATAAAATTTAATTATTTGCTACTTTGCTCAATTTTATAAAATATTATCAATCCAAATATACCTTAAACAAAATTGTGCATGGTCAGTGGCGAAGAAAGACTTAAATGTGGAGTGACCATAAAACTAAACTTAAACTTATAGATAAAATATTCATACTAATATACATGAGATATCTAAATTATAATTAACACAGTTGAATATGAAATGATTAAAAGGTGATACTTAAAAATACATTAAAATAATGCTTTATGCTCTTTGAATAATTTAAAATCATCAATAATATTGTTAGAATCAATATTGACCGTTGCAACAATTTCTCTTTTAATGTGAACGTCATCGCTGAAAATGATCTTTCAGTGGTGGCTATAGATATCGGAGAGTCATTAGAATGCGAAGCAATCTATCAGTTAAATAGTAAATTTTCTTCTTTTCACTTGCAGCTAAAGATGTACATAAGTCTTGAATAGTTGATAAATTATTCAAACTTGATTCATGACGAGCGTCAATAATAAAATTACGAAGTTGAAATTACAAATTAATCCTCTCTTACTCATTAAATTCCATAGGATAATATATTTCAACTATAGTGTGGATAGTATCAAGGTTAAAAGCCTTGTAATTATCCTTGGGAGCCAAATCACAACTTATAGTTAACAAATCAATCGCTTGCTCATTAAATCTGCTATTCAATTATTGTAATTGTTTGTCAATGACAGCGAAAAATATTTCAACTCCAAAATAATGCTCAATAGTTACCTAGTTATCTTCAAGACGAGAACGCCTAAATCTTGTTGTTGAATGAATAACATCACGAGCAGGAATATCAATATCATGTTTTTCACAAAAAGACTTCATAAAAGTAAACAATTTATCTCAATCATCTTCTCTCAATTCTTGAATAAGAGTTTTTGTTGTACAAACCAAATGCATAACGTTAACCACATCTTGGAATTGTTGTTGCAAGGCTTGACAAAGGATATTTGCAATCCCTATAATTTCTTTCATCAGATGCAATATAAATATAAAATCAAACACCTTCAAGTAGTTGTAAACACTATCAGCATCTCCACGTGAAGCATAACTTAATCCTTCATTTGCATTTTTTTTTTTTTGAAATAGTACAAGTTGCTTCATACAAATTTATCAAGCTTAAAATAGAAGAGAAATGTGATCTTCAATAAGTATCCACAACTCGTCACAAAGTATCAATTTGATTTTCACCTTTACTGGTTTCAATCTCATCAATCTCTAACTAATATTCAATTTTATCTAGTTGGAAAACTTTTAACTCATCACGGCGCTCTGTAGAAGAACAAACAACATTGTTAATAAAATTCAGCTTCTCAAAGAATTTATGAATTGATTTAACTTCTCTAGGCGTTGTAACTAAGGCTAGTTGCAATCAATGAGCAAAACATTGAACATAATATAATATGCATACGGACAATCTTTAAAAAATAATGCTTGTAAACCGTTTGATTCTACTCTCATATTTATAACACCATCATACTCTTGACCATGAATTTTAGAGACATCAATGTTATGTAGAGAAAGCATATCACAATTTTTTTGCTTAAGAGTTAAAGATGTAGTGTCATTAACACGTGCAAGGCCAAAAATCTCTTGTATAAAACCATCTCTATCAACAAATCTCGAGACAAGAGACATTTTCTCTTTTTTAGATTCATCACGAGCTTCATAAAAAATTATGCAAAATTTAGAATCACAAATTTCTTCACGGATATGCTTTTCCACCCTACTTGAAAGAATGAGCAACATCTCTTTTTGAATTTTATGTGAAATATACTTTCTATCAGGTGGAGCATTTTTCAACACAATTTTTGCAACTTCATCATTGTAACATGCTTAGAGTTTAATCAATTGAAGAAAATATCATTGGTTTAATGATTCTTTACTTTCTTCATGACCTCTAAAAGCACAAGCTTGAAAAGTTAACCAACGAACATTGTAAATTGAAGTCTTGAGACATAAGCAATTCTTCATAATTTCAATTGAACTTTGAGATTGAATAATATTCCTAATGTGACCATCTTGATTCAACAAGTCTTGACAACCTTTCATAATATTATTGTGTGGTGAACAAGGATCAATGCTTTCCATTTTTAGCTTTCTTCCAACCACTAAAACTTCTAAAAATGAAAACATCTGAACCAGGACGTCCACTTGATCGTTTGCTAAAAAGATAATACAATAAGCAATGAGTAGCATCCTCTGAAGGTGAATATTCTAACCATGATAGGAAAATGTTAAACCAAGCGTGTTCAATTTGTCTTTGATTGTCTTCTTTACCAGACAATAGATATTTCTCTAAATGCATTTGATATAGAACCCATTTCAAATAAGCTCTCCATATTTTATCCATTAGATTTAATGGATATTTCCATATTGGAGAATGTTTTCTAGGATCACGTTCTAAAGAATTCTCAATGTCATATGGCAAATTCTATAAATATTTTCTTTAATTCTTGGGTTGTCAAGAACTCTTGAGGTTGTGACATAGAAGTTATATTTTCTACATCTCTTTATTTCTTCTTGAAAAAAGAATTAATTTTTCTACTCTTCATCACCAATTTGGTGCTACAAAAACAGAAAAAAATATAAACTTTAACAACATTGTCAAACACTACTCAATGTTAACAAACAAATAAACTTTAACAACATTTTAATGGTCTTAAACATTGCTCAACATCATTAACATTGCTCAAAAATACACTGCTCAATGTTACAAATTACATAAAAATTGGTAGTCATTAACAAAATAGAAAACTCACATTAACATTGACAAAATAGAAAAATAAACTACACTTTAAGAAAACCTTGGTGATCATTAATAGGAAAAAAACAAAAAACAAAAAACTCACATTAACATGGCTCAACAAAAAATGACATAAAACTAAATTTATTAATGAATACTCACATTGCTCAACATAAAAAATGATGAACAAAATATTCACATTAACACAACAACAAACA